GTGTGTGTGTGTGTATGTATGTATGTATGTATATAAATACACACACTCACTCACATCGTCCTCTGATGAGCTCTCAACCGCGTCGTCGACATCGAATTCCGACTCTGATTCCGATGTCAGGGGCTGGGCTTGTTTGCCGTCCACTTTCCTCCTGCCTGTGTAGGATGGCTTGGCTCTTGTGGGCAGATTTGCCTCACCATCACTACCACTGCTCTCAGTCCCATGTTCATCTGCAGGTGGTACGTTCAGGTCAGTAACAACTGTCAAACATGTATGAGGGGGTTTAACCGCCAAAACCCTAAACCCTTGCCTTTCAATATATTCTTTGACGTCTGTCATACCAGTGGTATCCAAATACATTGAGCTCGGCAGAGATGCCCATCAGTGAACAACTACTCTATATGGCCAATACATTCTTTCGATGCATGAAAGGGCAGATTATTAGAAGATGAGTGCAAATGATGAGTGGGTCGGTGTACCACAGAGTAACCAAATATGGGACTCTGGAGTAGAGCAGAGTATGTGAAAATATAACATATATCACAGCAGAGAATACTACACTCAGCCATGACATTAAAACATTCAACCAACACACTATGACACTCCACCAACACGCAACAAACTATGAAACTCCGCCACGACACTCAATCAAAACACACGCGCCATACCCACAGACTCGGACAGCCTCTTGCGCTTGCGCTTGATTCCCCCACCCACTGGTCCTCGCTTACGCGTGGCTGTGGCTGTGGCTGTAGCTGTGGCTGTAGCTGTGGCTGTGGCTGTGGCATTGGGTGTCTTCCTGGGCCGTCCTCTGCCTCTTCCACTGGCAGTTGGTGTGCCCTTAGTCGCGTGTGCGTGTACTACTTTCTCTTTGCCTGACTTGCCGTCCTCGTGAGCGGTTGTTTTGGCGTCGCTGTCGGGCGGGTTTTTCGCGTGGGCGTCGTCGTGCTTTAACCCCACGGCGCTGATAAGAGAGTCGACGTTGTAGTTGACGCTCTTGGTGGCGCGTCGGCCTGGTCGTCTTCTGCCGCCGGTGGTTGCGTCCACTTCGTCTGGGAGAATGTTGGCCAGGTCCAGACCCACCGGCTGGTCCTCGAGTTTGAACTCGAACTGGTCATTGTCAACTGTTGTAGGCTGACCTGTGGTGGTTTCTATCGGTGCGACAGTGGGGTTGTGAGAGGAGAATGATTAAGTGTGCACTGAGAAGTTCTAGAAACGGCATGCGAGTGACCACATGGGCACGCCATCATGTGATCGGGTATAGGAAACCTGACAGACAGACTAAGCAGTCCCAGAGTATGTGCTAACGTGAGCCAAATGGCTGTGAAGAAATGTTCGGGACTTATCACTGGAATATGCCGAATACAATCCAAGATAATTTTGATTTAACTACGAAACGCTGGTCATGACTAAGTAAAATCGACGCCCTAATCCTCTCACGAGACGATGCATCGTTATCTCTCCAACACTTCAGAGACTTCAGATATGGGACTAATTTAGATTACAACATTTGTTTA